TTGTGCGTATTTATAGGGCTACTGGCAGCACGAACTATTTCTCCAAACAAGGAAAAGCTTGAACATCATTGGAAAACGACCGATGAAGGCGCAATCCCGCGAGGTTGCTTCGGACAGTTCATGGTTCGTGATAGGTTCATGCACATATCACGCAACCTACATTTCAGCTCCAACAGCGACGCACGTGCACAGCTGGACAAGGCTTGGAAACTTCGACCTGTGATTGACGCCTTGACGCAGCGATTTCAGCGGGGATACATTCCACCTCCTGCAATGGCTTTTGACGAAGCCATGCTGCCATCACGGTCCAGATTCAATCGGATGCGAGTCTTCATGAAAGATAAACCTCATAAGTGGGGAACCAAGCTATTCATGCTGTGTTGTTCAACGACGGCGTATTGCATCCGGTGAGTTACGAGTGTTCCAACAGGAGCACTCTTTTTTTTTTTTGGCTCCTAAGTATGCTCAACATGTACCTGACATACTAACCCATTTGTAAACATGTATGGACAGTTTTGAGGTCTACTGTGGAAAACAAGAACATGCGGGTGTCAGTGGCGCGTTGACAGACTATATGTCTGGGCCAGCAGCAGTTATTCGCAATCTCACGGAGGTGTTTGGGCCTACAGGACCCGGCACAGGTGCCATGAGGCTGATCGTCACTGACCGCTTTTACACATCGGTTTCGCTGGCAGTGCAGATGCTAACCATGGGTTTCTACAGTGTGGGTACAGTGCAGACGGATCGTCTTGGGCTGCCAGCGTCTCTTGTTGGCGAAAAGAAGAAAGGTGAGAAGAAGAAAAAAGCCTATAAAAAATCGCCCAGCACGGATCGAACGTGGTACGTTTGATGTAACTGAGCACCGGCAGATCCCTGGATTTCGGGCGCTGCGCTGGTGGGATAACAAAGCGGTGTATATGCTTGCATCCGGGGGAAGCGTTGAAATGGATCGCGTAGTGCGGCGAGACAAGCAGACCGGCGAGCAGGGTGAAGTTGCCTGCCCACGAGTGCTGAAAGATTATCAGACGCTCATGGGCGGAGTGGACGTTCACGACCAGCTTCGTTTACAAAGGTAAGTGTGCGTACAGTGTATATACATCTTACTTCGAGTTCTAAACGTGTATGCACATGCTTCATCGGTACTCGCTGCAACTTGCTATCAAGTACAAGAAGTACTACAAATCCCTATTCCTAGGGCTTGTCGATCTCGCCATCATCAATGCCTATATCATCTACAATGCTCGTCGCGTTGCAGATGGACAGCGCAAGCTTAGTCACGTGAAGTTTATCAAGCAGATGCACTTGGAGTTATGCCAGTTGCGGCCCGACGATTGGGAAGGACTGCTTTACGACGAAGATGCGGCAGCAACACCGTCAAGATCTCGGTCGAGAACGCAACAGCCTGGACACATTACTGTCCAGAACGACGAGTGGCGCCCCGGTAACAACCAAGCTGGGAGGAAGCGTCGGACCCGGGTATGCAAGGTGTGCTCATTGCTAAAGGGAACAGATGGGGCGCGTGGCGGGGATACTGCAGTGACTGCAAGCTGGCGACGCCGTCGAAGAAGCCGAAGGCATGGCGTGTGTTCTTGTGCGACAAGGCTCGACACAGGCACAACGGCGCCCTCATGACGTGCTTTGATATATGGCACAGAGTGTGGCGAAATGGTACGCTCCTCCCCAAAATTGCGAGAAAGCGGAACATTCGCGCGCGAACCCCAGCTCAAGTATCATTGGCTGCAAGTGACGAGGAAGGCTGTGTTTCATCGGATGACGAGTCGGCGGGTGCAGGACAGACCTCGCCAAAGCGAGCGCGTACGGTCGAGGCGGAGGAGTAATCGATTGTTGTGTCCGTAATTGTTTTGATTTCAGTATACTCAGTTTCAGCAATCACAAGACTGATCAGCATCTGTATTTGAGTAGCACGACTTTGTTCTATGAACGCCTTCTTTTAACACGGGAATGCACCTGTTTTATCAAGGTGTATACAGGTTCCACGATAACACCGCCTTACTTGCTGTTAATAGCTTGGAGGTACACGATTGCAGTATGATGTGATTTCTGGGACTAGGTTAAGTGCACGCCTATCCAACATACACGATATCAAAAAAGCTTAATTTCAATATGTTAACCCTTACCCGGAGATACAAGTTTTTTAGTCGGATGGGGGCGCGGAGAATGCTTCGAGCTCAAGGGGTTAACTTCCCCGCCATTTTTAAAATCTGGGGATTTTTGAGGGGGGGGCCATGGCCCCCCCAAAAAGGGCCTGCCTCAGCCTCATGATGAGGCTGCAGAATTTAAGCACATCGTTACCAGAGAGTATGAGTGCCCTGGTACTCTTGGAGGTTGCGATTGCTGTCATGGCTTTCGTCGTGGTGTCCGTGCTCAGATTCCAACAGCGCCGGGTCCGCAATAAGTACCAGACGTTGCTGCCTAAATGAAACGATGATATATACATGTATTAATACACACACTGTATAATATACTTTCTTAAAGATAATTGTAAAATAAGAAAAGTATCTTCTTCATCAGGACGTATTATTATAGTACTTACTGTATCATCATCATCTGGCTTAATCTAAATAGAAGTTCCCTCGACGAGAGTAATACAATTGTACGAGGCAATTTCCAACGATGCAGACTCGTACTGGACTGTACACTGCATATCTGGTGGGTGTCTTTGTACCGAAGATCAAGTGTTCGTCGTCATTGTCACGGGCAGCGATGACGTTGAGTTCCGGTACGAAGACGCGAGCACCGCAGGGGATGGCGATGTGGCTCGAGTCAGTGCAACGGAGTCCGATCGTCTAGTGGCGCAGCTAATGGTGATTGACGGTCTCCCAGTGTTGCAGCTTACAGCGAAAGATGGAAAGCTGGACGTGGAGCTGTTACGCAAGGAGCGAGTACACCGAATTGTGAACCAAGGCTCAGGGAATATAGCCATCTATGATGGCGTCTTGGTCACGAGCGGACCAGACTTGACAGTGAGTGCAATAGGCAGTGGAGACGTTTTCTTAATGTCGTCAGCGACCGTTGTAGACGGGCTAGTGCTGAGGGTGGGCGTCTCCAGACCTCATTCTCGGAGGTAAAGGTCAAAACAGCGTCAGTGGAGGTCTCTTCATCGGCCGACGCCACTGTCACTGTTGAGTCAACTGCTACAATCGATTCTCTTTCTTTGAGTGTGCAAGGCTCCGGGTCTTTGTGCTTCACTGCCGATTCCTCCATCGAAACCAATTACCTAGAGATCAAGAAAATTGGTGCTGGGGATGTTTCAATCGGGCCACAAGGGTCGTGCCAAGACGCAAAATTGACATCAACCGGATCGGGAGCACTAGACATTGGTGGAATCCAATGTCATACTGTCAATGTCGACCTGTTGGGCAGCGGGAATGTCGTTGTTCAAGCGACTGGATCGCTGTCAGGCGATGTCTATGGAAGTGGCCACTTGAAATTTTACGGAGACGCGCCACAGTCTATCGACAATATCAACTACTTGTGTCTTGTGACTGCAACTCCAGTCTCACGCTCGTACCACCCGGCGGGATGCAAGATGAAGCCGTTCCCAACAGACTCGGTAGGGGTCTCGAGAGTTGAGGGCAAAAACGTCGGCAAAGAGTCGAGTTATAGCATGACGAGTGACCAGAGCAATCTCGTCTATCTCGCAGGCGCAGTGTTCCTAGTAGCGCTGGTGCTGCGCTGGTTCAACGAGTCTCGTCGTCGAGCTCGGGAACTTCCCGGGGAAGAGCAGCGACAACCATTGGTAGATACAGAAAGACGACCATACACGTAAGGAAAACAACGAGAACATCGACAGAACTTGCCGCGATCGTTGTAGTCTTCCAGGACTTTTTACAGTGTAAATTATTGTTATTTAATTATGAATAGGCGTGTGCAGTATCCTTGGGATTGGCCGTGAGGAATGATTGTGAAAATGACAGAGAATGTATGTGATACTTCAACTTGCGATCTGTATTGACGCAATGCTCGCCACACATCTCGATTTGCCGTCTGCAGTCCACAACTACCGTCCTTAAGCGCCAGAGCATTCTCCATGATGAAATGTTTCTCGTTGCTCACTGCTGTCGCCTTTGCACTGACCCAGTCGGTCGTCGATGGAGCTCTATCCGTCACGTCCACTGAGCCCACGCGCTCCAATAATGGTCCATTCCTCGAGAAGGTTTGGATCATCGAAGGTGACGCCGGCGACATGCTCGACGACTTGAAGGTGCAAGTCGCGGGTAACGTGTTCGTGGACTACGACGCGTCACTCGCTGCGGATGGCAACGTGGCGGCCAGGGTAATTATGCGCAGCAGCTCGCCTGACATGGTGGGTCTTGTGGACGTCGTCGTGCATGAAGCTGACGGTAACGGGATCCGCATTCACTACAAGAACACGAACGCTCGCGTCGTCGGCGAAGTGGTGACACAAATCATTGTGAGCGACCGGAACGCGCTCTCTAGTGTCAGTGCCACGCACTCCGACAGCGTCGTCCTGGGTGACGGCGTCGTGGTGAAGGATGATCCGTCCACCAGTCTGGAGCTCGATACGAGCGGTGATGCTGCAATCTACGTCGGCTCCTTGACGCAGGACCAGGTTGTGCTGAAAAGCCTCAGTATCGCTAGCTCTGGCGATGGCTACGTGCAATTCCTGGCCTCGTCGATCCAAGCCGATGCCATCACTGTCTCTCTATCTGGAGACAGCAAGGCGGTCGTTGCGGCAACCGACCACATCACTGTCGATTCGATGGTCTCCGCTATCTCAGGTGACGGCAAGATCTTCGTGGAGACGGCCAATCTTCAAGCGCAAAAACTCTCAGCTACTCTATCAGGAGACGGTAAAGTGTCGTACTCCTCTTCTGGATCGTGCGTGGATCAGACTATTCATCTAAGTGGTGACGCCTCCGTCTACGCTGGATCTATTGTCTGTAAGAATTCAATGGTAGCAACGTCTGGAGACGGCAAAGCTATCGTCCAAACTACGGACACACTAACGTCCGTTGGTGGCGGATCTGTGAAGTACGTGAACGCAGCACCGCACCGTATTGTATCCAGCTCGATTTTCAGAAAGCACAGCAATGTCAAGCCAGCCAAGTACAACAAGTTCAAGACACGCCGCCCGTCGACCCCGCCTACCCGTGCGCCAACAGAACTTACTGTTGTTGTCAAGGCAGCCTGGTTCGGCGACGCTCCTCACGTCAGTGTGTACTCGGGCATTGGGAACTCAATTTTCATTGACGGAACAGGGTTCGCAGTGGCCAATATCCCAGCCTATCAGCGCGGTGTCGGATTTTTTGGAGTTTTTGTCGCAGTGGCCGCTGTTGCCACCATGGCACTTATTGCAGTTAAAGTCCGCGAAAGCAAGACTCGCAAACAGTACGCGCCTCTAGCGTAAAGCTTCCATCATACGAAGTCCCAGTTAAAACTGATTTTTGCTGCGTCAACAAAATACATTTTTGCCCACGGTACGCCGAGAAATATGTACTGTGCACGTAAAGACGAGGTAATCCTCATTCTTCACATACCCTCTGACAGGAATATAATATCGGATTCCGCCTCGCTCAAAATTTATTTTCTGTAAATTTGAGTCAAATTTACAAAAATGACTTTACTGAGGATCAGCCTTCTTAGACTTTTTGATTTGCCAATAAATAAAAGAGGCTCCAGTGCCTTATTACGTCAGTAGCTATTATAGGCTGTTCCTGCTAGCTGTACATGTTAGGTTGGGGTGGGTAGCATAATGCAGGCACTGCAACGCTATGATAGCATTGGTGAGTGTGATGAGAGTTGGCTTGTTAATTGTTCTGGCTGGCATCTTGATGCACGAGCTTAATTGAAGAGTTTGTGTGAGAGGAGAGGGGGGAAGGGAGGACCACAAACGCAAACATGAAATGGCTGTTGGGTTGGTCGGTTTATAAGCTCTCTAGTATGTACCATTGAGAAGGTACCTTTGGCTAAGCCACTCCACGATTATAATACCTATAGATAGAAAAAAAATGTAATATCCGGCGCTATGACTACGGAAGGGTTCATCTGTACCAGCATATCGACCTGTCTACCACCGCGTTACGAATCGGGCCAGACGATTTGTTGGAATTGATAAGCACCACAAGCTGTGGTGCTTATCAATTCCGTTGTGGCACAACAGCTGGAGCGAGCCGCGTTAGTAAAATTCCCCTGCGCCAGGAGCATGATCGGACAATGCTTTTTAAAAAGTACGGTAGCAATCGTTCATAGAACTGAGCAGCAGTGCTCTGCAAAGTGAGTGTTGATGTACATGTAGTCTCCAATATGGAGAGGGGAGGATGGTCGACATGATGTCTTATGCTCCGATGACTCGCAATGCTCTGCTGCTCGAGTCTGACTCATACCGTAGCGAACACGAGAGCGACATAACAAGGACGTTCCTTGTCATTGTCAGAAATACCCGTTTTGACGATGGTTTCCGCGGATCAAGCTGTTGTTTTGTTGTTGCCGTGGTCGGGTATGGCTGTCACGATTTCGGAAGCAGCGACAGACTTTACAAACGCTGACACGAAACCATCAGACTCTTTGAGTTACTAACGGATACTCGGATACGGCTGGCAGACCGAAGTGCCACGTGAAGCTGTTGTCCACCAAAAAGCCTCTACAACATCATACAATTCCCATAGATTTTACCGCGTCGCGGTCTCTTTGTAAGGTAACAGAACTTTCAAAATGCATGGGTGACACAAAGAGAGCCCCTCGCGCAGATCGGTGTTGGTTCTTGTTGCTCTCATCCTCACAAAGTCTTGGCTTCACCGCATGCAGCTGATTCGGCTGAGCTGAATGCCTGTCGCAGTGGCCGTACAAGCGTTGTTCAATTGACCGTCTCCACCAAAACTGGTGAGCTTCACCTCCACAAATTCCACACTTCCGGAGTTCGAGCGAGTTGCTCTGCTCGATCTTTACCACTCTGCGTCGTGGCGTCTTGGTGGAGACGCCTGGTACCGGTATCAGCACACAGGTGGCACGCATTTTGGTGGAGCACAACGATATTTTCACTGAGAACCACCCACCGACCACCATGTGCGGAGCTGCGAATCAAGAGGACGCAAGGCAGAGTTCGGCCGCGAGTTCACCGTGTTCGATCAAAGGCTCGCTCTCTTTTATCCTAGACGACGCACCCGGCGTCAAGCGCACAGCAAACTCCGCTGAGCTGGACGAATCAACCGCGTCGAAAAGCTTACGACCATCAGTCTCCACTATCAGTATCAATAATTTATTGGCGCCGGTTGTCGACGAGAACGATGTACGCAATGCGACTAGAGCCACAACGCCATTGGGACGAAAGGTATCTTGGCTCTTGATACTATGTACGGTTGAATACGAGATACTGACCTGTTCGTGACCTCACAGAGCAGCAAGTATTGCATTGTTGAAGGCTGCATTAGTCGAGCCAAGCACGCACGGCGGTGCTGGAAGCATGGTAAGTGTACTTTTGTTGAAAGATTGATTGTCGTGACAAAGAGCTTAACCTAATTCATCGCAGGCGGTTCGATTGAATGCAAGGTGGTTGGTTGTCGAAATCGCGCCAAGACCAAAGGGGTCTGCTGGTCCCATGGCGGTGGAACCATCTGTAGCGCGGATCAATGCACAACCGTTTCTGTCTCGAATGGTGTGTGCTGGGCTCACGGTGGGGGTATGTTTGCCAAAGAATGACTATAGAATAGTTGCTATTTTCGATATACTAACGTGATCTCTTACTTTCTAGGAAAGCGCTGCGTCACGCCCGGTTGCGCTCGACCCGCCTACCAACGGACCAGGAACATGTGCTCCATGCACTTCAACGCAGGATTATCGAGCAATGTTTCAGCCTCTTAGATCGACGGAACAGGGCCACCTCTCCTTTTCCTTCTTTTTTTACCAGCCAGATGTAGCAGGTGTGTCTTAAAATGAATACTTTCCGCCAGCTTCTATTCCGAGCAACCAAGATGAGGTCATGTTGTACTTGGTCAACAGTGGTAGGCTTGCCTCAACCACCCGTTCAAATTGACCTTCAATGGGCCGTTGTCTACAGCATTGCTGTCAGCAATGGTTTTTTGAGCTTGTGCTACCACCCTCGGTAGGTTGACGTACTGCAATATTGCGTCCCGAATCGTGATGCCAATACTTAAGTCGTCGCACCTGGCTCACAGAAGAACTTTAAGTGCTGTATTGATCTGTTGGGGATCTAAGTCGTGTACATCTAATAGAATAGAAAATTCGGAGATGAGAAGATGGTGCAGCTTCAATATACCACAGTTTCATTGTTCATCTTCGAAAGACTTTTTCTCAAAAACAACAGCGACGTATTCAACCGTACGAACCGATTTAAAATGGTCGTGAGCCAGTCAATTCATTAAACGAAAGCAAGTATGTGAATGAATTATCGTGCAAGGGCTCTACCTACTTCGACGGGTATGGCTTAAGTTTGATCATCTGGTCGATGCTGGCCTCGTCCGTGTTCTCTAGGTGACCTTGCTGCACCATCTCGTCCAGCGCCACAACTACTTTGGCGTAATTGGCCAGAAGACTAGCCTCCGTGAGTTTCTTGTCCAATTGAGTCGTCAGGACTGATTGCAGCACTGTCATGATCTCATCCACTGCAAACCCGACACCATCAGTAAGTTCAGTAATCGATCATAGGATGTATTAGTTTCCGAACATCAAATGATACTAGAACGCACAGATGAGTTCGTCATACTCTTCGTTGCCAGAGAGCATCAACCGGAGCTCCCCGACCTGACGAAGAACCACGAACTGCGACTCGCACACGACCAGTTGACTCTGTGTCGGGTCCACGACTTTCCTACCGTGTCGGTCGCCCCAGAGGTTCGGGACTTGTTTGCAGATTTGTGCGAGTTGAGTCTCGTACGTCTTGCGAGCTTCCAGGGTCAACTCCGGCTGGAAATATCTAGATAGAAGCACGTAGTTGGCCTCATTGCAGCAGATCAAGCTGTGCAGCATGTTGTGCTTGTTTCAAGGATAAGGTCTGTTGTGGTTCTAATTTGACCAATCGAATGGCCCACAATGGCTATTTTTAGTCAATGAGTGTGCTTGGACGCGAAACGACGCAACCTTTCGTGTACATTTTGCGATCTTCCTGTAGAGCGGCCATGGACGGTGACGAGAGTGAGTGGCTCCTAGCTATCAGTGTATTTTCCTAAGTTTAAGCTTTCCTCACCGACGCTATGGGTGTGGACTGCTGACCAGAACCGATTAAGCGCTTGGCGCCCAGCGTCACGATCAGTGACTGCGCGTCTGAGGTCTTTTGTACGAGGTTTTCACCCGATGGGAAGCTCCTGGCGGCTGGATGCGGTGATGGGGCCATTCGAGTGTTTAATGTGCACGACGGCAAGTTGTCGTACACTTTGATACAGCCGCAAAGCAGCTACGGCTTCGGTTTACCGTGCACGGCCATCAGGTTCCGTCCTCTCACCAGTGCCACCAAGACCAAAAACGTGCTGCTCGCTGCAAGTGGGTAAACATTATTTTAATCTTTATATAGGTGAACTGTCTGCTAAATTTTTTGCTTATGTAGATTCCAATGGGTCGGTAGAGCACTGGCACATCACGTCGGGCAAGTGTCTGAACGCCATCACAAATACCCAAAATCAACTGTACGCTCTTGACTATCGCGAGGATGGAGCCCTGTTCGCTACGGGGGGCAAAGATCATGGCATTCGAGTCTACGATGAAGCCACAAAAGCTGAGGTGGCGTGCATGGATAGTGGCCACGGTACTCTCACTGCAGGCCACTCGAACCGCGTCTTCTCCATCAAATTCGCTCCAGAAGATGACAACACCATCGTCTCTGGTGGGTGGGATAACACACTTCAGATCTGGGATATTCGCGTGGGTCACTCGGTCCGAAGCATCTACGGACCTCACGTGGCAGGAGACGCAGTCGATATGAACACGCGTGGAGAGATCCTCACGGGCTCGTGGCGTCCTGAAAACCCTCTGGAGCTCTGGGACTTTGGCTCGGGCAAGCGTCTTCTGACTGTGCCGTGGAACCAGAGCGCTATTCGCTCGGAGCCCTGTTTCCTGTACTCGGCCCAATTCTCCAAGTCGAAAACCGGACAGCAACTTATCGCTGCGGGGGGCAGTGGATCCAACGAAGCCAAAGTGTTCAACCACGACTCGAACAACAAACTTGTGGGCACAATCGCAGGCTTAAGTCGTGGTGTCTTCACTCTCGACTTCGCTGCTGCCATCGACAAGATGGTGGTGGCGGGGGCGGATGCTGCGATTCGCATCATCGACGTCTACGACCACATTCCAGGCGAAAAGTCTCGTGAACGCCCTACGACTCCTTCGATCAGGTTTGACAGTTTATCAACTTTTATTCTCACACTTTTGAGTCTAGGTAAACCAATTTTGTTGTAATTGTCATTTTCTATTTTCACAGAAATGCCCTCATGCCGCATGAAAGCTTGACGCGTCTGGCCTCCCCCGCTCTAAGCACTGAAGCACTGAGAGCTCCGTCCTCACCGCTGCACAGAATGGCTGTGCACGACAAATGAGGCTTCTCGCTAACTGTAGCACCGAAGCCAGGAAATTTTTCATTATTCACAAAAGACACAGCACACCAAACCTCGACCACAGCAATCAACATTCTCCACTACCGTAAAACAGCTTTTTCAAATACTACATTTCAAATTTTCACGTACGTGTCGTAGCTGGGGTCGCTTACGTAGTCCACCGAGGGGATGTGTATCTCCAGTAGTGACGCTCCATCCTACTTCTATTCACTTGCTAGTTTTGGTCGTTAGTGCCACTTTCAGGCGTTAGATGGACCCACTGTACAGCCGTTGCTCCTCCGGATCGTCGCTGTGGTGCCTCCGACCGTGAGGACCATGCCAATGGCCAACGGGATGGCCACTCCGGTGACTTTTGTCATTGCCGTTCGTGTACCCATTGGTGCCTCCGTATCCGCTGTGGTCACTCACGCGACCGTTTGATGGAGTGTACCGTAGTGGAGTGGTCTCGCTGTCGCGATCGTCGAAGCTTTTGCGACTGAAGGTGCTGTACGAGTGACCCTGTGGTGAGAGCGGCATGAGAGCACCAAAGTGACCTGTCAGATGCGCACGATGGCCCGGCGTAGTGTGCTCAGGGTCGTCCAGATCGTCACTTTCGTCTTCTCCATGCTTTGCCAGCAGATAGATGCCCATTATGATGACTGAAGAAAACGAAGTAGAAAACGACATTGTCAGTGTTAATTACGCACAAAACACGTCGAATGAAAGAGAAAAACCCACAGGCCAGCGCAATCGGCAGACAAATCCAGTCAAAGAGCGAGAAGCGCGTGTACTTTTCGTAAAACACGACGCCGCCAATGACGCTCGACTAAAAGCCCAGAAACAATACAGGAAAACAACGTTAGCTTCTCTCATTAAACTGACGTCAGTAGTTCGGTCAACGTACCCCGATCCAAAAGCACTGGAACATGGGGAACACACTGAGCGTGTCGCCGACCATGATAGCGCGGTTCAGCAGGTCCGTCTGCAGCACCAGCGTGCACATCATGCCCCCCATGAACAAATACGTCGTAAAGTAGACGAACTGATTCTCTCCGCTGACCGTCAGGATCAGCAAGATCGAGGCGCACTATTCACGAAAATAATCCCGAAATTAACAACCATCTTCACGAGTACCGAAAATAAGCTGCTGCCTTACCTTGGCCAAAAGAACCGAAAAGGATCCGAAGATACCTGACGCCGTCGCGTACATGAAGGGCAGCAACCTGTACTTGCTCTCGTTTAGCGCTCTAGGCAGCCTCGAAATGGCTTCAATCTGTCCGAAAATGGCGCCTAGCACCACCGTCTGTAGTTGCAACATAGTGCTCGTTTAGCCTGCTAACCTGTGTATCGTATCCTGTATCCGAGAGACGCTCACCATGACGCCCAAGTAGATGAGGAAGCCCAGCTGGAAGAACTGTTTCTCCAGCTCCACCAGCGACATCTGCTCATCTGGTTCATTGGCCACAGTGCTGAGCACGACGCCGATGATGATGAGAAGTGTGCCCAGCACGTCCGTTCTGGTCAGGATCTGGCCCAGCCACAAGTGCGCGAAGAACACGTTGGCCAGTACCGTAAAGCCGCCACCTACAGACGCCACTAGCGCCTGAGGAGCGAAGCCCAACGCCTCAAAATCTCCCACGGCACCTAGAACAACCAGCACCAGGCCGGTGAGCCACAGAGGTCGCGTGTAGTAAGTCTGTCGCTCGAACACAGGCTTCTCTTCCTCCTGATACAAATTAAAGACACTCTGCGTTAGTACCGTACGAAGGTGAATATCACAGAACGTATCAGCTTTCTCGAGTGCGCACTCGGCGCATTATCATGTATCTCGAGTGCGCACTCGATGCGCATCAGCGTAGAGAGGGAGAGTTTCGTACCCGCACGTGCGAGAGCTTCTGCACATTCACGCCGAGGTTGGAGAGCACAGCTGAGGTGATGACAATAGCCAGGCCGATCCATTTGCCCTGCACGTTGTCAGCGTCGTCGTCGCCGCCTATTGCGGCGGTCAGGAAGCGCGCCTCGCCGACCATTGACGTCGGAACTGAGAGACAGCGAGAGTGCGCCTGATCGTGGTGTTGCGGGAGTATTTATAGGTCTGAGCCTAAAAGATCTGAGTCGCCGCAATGTGATATTTCGACTCGTGCGGGAGAGAACTGGCACGCGATTGGGCCGCCAACGGGCGTCAAAAATCAAAGTGACAGTTGCTTGCTTCAATTGACTGCAGGAAGCTCGAGCTCACTGACTCAGTAATTTAAGGCCGGCGGAATGTAACGGCGTCAAGTTGTGCGTGCAGGTATACTGTACAACTCTTGGTGGCGTGCGCGCTTTCGCTGCAAGGCTGCAATATCCAGGGACATGATGATGCAACGTTGCAAATTGCTGCGAAATACGACACTGGCGCGCATAATCAGCTAGCCACATTGTCCAATCAAACGTAAATTTGACAATAAGAAAGCTGGTTGATTGCGTCGATGCCACAAACACGCTCAAACTTGTTATGCCGGTGTTTAACACCGTCTACACATGTACTTCGAAATGTTCTTCGAGGTACGTGTACCGTAACGGTACTAGTATTGTTTTTCACGCTGTATAGACGGATAGAAGTTGGCTGGGTGTAAATTACACTGTAATCGTCATGCTGTTCTGTACAGCGGTTACTAAGGCTGTTCATGTCTAATATACACTGTAGATATATTACAGTAAAGCCTTTCCTACCTGATATGACCCGTGGACGACTCCTCTATCAGAAATTGCAGTATATCATATTACTTTGGTCGTCTCCGTTAACAGGCGAATTAGAAAGTCTATCTGAGGCGCAATATCCACGGGCGAGAAAGCATTCCCCAAAACACGTAAGATGATGATTATTTTTTTACACGTAACACGATGGAGTCGAATTTTAGGCCTGCATCGAGAGCACAGCAGCTTGTATGTGTTCTCTATGCAGTCGAAGTATGATACAAACAATTTCAAGGCTGCTGGTTGCTAATTACTGACAAAAACTAATCACAAGTTTTTCCACGGCCACTTCGTAGTCGTAGGCTATAAAATATACACTTGCTGTCCGGATCAGATTTGTCGTTTGAGCAAGATCAAGTTTACCTGGGAACGGACTCGGTGAACCTGAAATAAATCATGTACAACAGGATATCAGGTTTCACAAGGTTCATTTAGGAGAGGTTTTAGTATAATACATGAACCGGTATTAATGAAATGCAACATAAGACTTAAACACGCAAATTAACCGGTTTCGTAGTCGCAAGACTGCGTCTTCCGCAGCAACAAGAGGACGACAACCTCGAGCTGAACTCTCAGATGTTCGGTGCCTACGTGGATTACGTAGGAGACGAGACTGTGGAGATTACAAGGAGCTTTCCTCTAGTACCCCCTTAAATATGATAAAAAGCGTAGCATACGTATAATTTGTTAAAAACTACAGTATTTGTGAGATCGAGGCTTTAAGAAGTGAAACGAGAAGTAAAGAAAAAAACGAAAATCAAACGAGAAGTATAATGTGTAAAAACGAGAAGCCTGTGTATATTATGATAATGAATCGTAATAAATGTTGTCGCGTTAATGATAAGGATGAATATACACGTCTTTCCGACAGATAGTTTGGTGATATTGTAATTGTACAGCAAGCAACACTTTTTAAACCAATCCCAACCCTTTATTTGAACATTTCCGACAATCATACAATCTAGGGTTAGGGCTTCGGTTCCGGCAAATATTTGTCGGAACCAATGACAAAATATGAATATGTCAATACAAATGTCAAGTTGTTAGGACATTGCTGCCAGATTTTGACACTTCCGGTCTCTAGGTACTATCCTATGTTAGGCAAGTCGCCAGCCTAAGGCAGCACAAAATTCTTAGTGGCAAGGAGCACAGTTGGAAAGCAGACGAAGCAGACATGATCTTGGCATTGTTCGTGCCAGCAAACACGCAAAAAGCGCGTACCACCGCGGGAAGCGCTTTCAAGCGTATGCTGGAAGAGGAGATGGTAAGCCTAGAGTATGTGCAGTCTAGCATTGCTAACACGACTGGCAAGCGCTTCGCCTCAATAATGGACCGTTTTGAGTTCTTTCTGGCTACTAACGAAGGTAAGAAAGGCAAACTTGCACGCAACACTGCCGTTTCGTATTATAGAAATGCAAAGCTTTGGCTATTTGATCTGTATCCTCATCTAAGGGTGCCTACGGAGCTTCAGCTACTGAAGCAAAGTAAAACTCTCGATAAGCACTGTCTGAAAAGAGAGAAAGGAGGTATTGTTAGCAAGGCGCCTCCTTGTACAAAGGAGGACCTGCATGCACTTACACAATATGTCTACAGCAACGCTCGCGTGAAAGCCGACTACCAGGATGCTGCACTCGCGTGCCTGATGTGGCACTGCTTCGGGCGATCGTCGGACCTGGGGTACATCAAAAAGCAGCACGTGTCAGTTTCAGCTGACGGTGTCTTCTACGTGCGTCTGCTGCGCGTCAAGACCGCCGAGGAGCAGGGACTAACGCTCGTGCCAGACAAGACGGACTTCTGACTTGCCCAATCCACGCGTTGGCTGTGGCGTTGACAACGCAGGATGCACCATGCGGCTCGCTGCTCAGCCAGCTACCAGACCTTGTTCCCGTTGAAGCCACCGCCAACGCCCCCGGACTTCTGCTAGCAGAATTACTGGAAGCGGACCCGGCCTCTTTGAGGGTTGCACTCGCAGGCCCATGCTCGTCCGTGCCTGCTGGCACACCATTCGCTCCAAGTCTGCTAGACGCTGCCGCTGCTGCAGCACCCTCAGCGGTTCCAGGCCCAAGCTTGTCGACGCCGTCCCGACCGAGGGGGACTACGCGCGGGAAAGATAGAGTCCAAGCGTACGTGAACCGCCTCCTCAAGCGCGTCTCAAACCCCGCTGGAGCGTCAGAAGCCCTATCTTCGCCCTCCTTCCGTCGCGGCGGCGCTCAACATGCGAACGCAGACGAGAAGCTTGCTTTACAGTGGATCTTCGACCGGGGCGCCTGGGACATGAGCAAGGTAAACAAAGGCTTCGCGTATGTGCTCAACACACCGCAGGAAGACCGCAAGGTCGCGCGTGTACTGAGCGGGTGGAGTGTCGACGATGTGCCAAAAGTGGTGGACGTTGAGGTCTTGGATCACTCCACGCAGGAGCAACTCGCGCGGCTACAAGACATCCTGTACAGTTTATGCTCGGGATTGAAAGATCCCCGGTTCAACGTTAGTGGTAAGGTTCTTGCTGTACTTACCGCTTACCTGGTCAAGTACTACCCTCAGTTGAAGGCGCTGTCTCCTTCTGCGCCGATCGTGCTTCGCGTGGAGGAGAGCTTGGACGCGCCTGGCATTTCTCATGCCGACATGATCGCCTGGTCATCGGCCCTGAGCAGATCACCGTTGACAACCTTTGATCGCAACAACAAGCAACAAGATGAGGCAAGAGGATGCAGAAGATGTCATCACAGCGCTGTCATTGAAGAGCTTATCGCGATGAATCGCACGTTGAGCGCTCGATTGACAATCGTCGAAGCTGCTATGCTAAATAGTACAAGCACACAAGCTACACAGGTGCTGCGTGAACAAACGGACGCAACGTCAGATCAAGATCCCAAGCCCAAACGCAGGAAGAAGCAAGTGACGCACCTGTCGACTACGAGTGGTACACGAAGGTGCCACCCGATTGGAGTTCTGTCGTCCGCCAGAAAAAGTCAGAGTCGCGTCACGTCGTCGCTTTCATGAAAGTATTCCTCGAGCAAGGTTTCAAGCTGGACACGAAGGCGGAGGACTACCAAGACCAAGTCCTCGGCGCCGGTTGCCGCGCGGAAGAAGCCGTGATTGCCTTCTTGAAGGCGCGTGGCACAAACGCGAAGGGATCTGGAAGCGTCCTGCGCGCGCTGCGGCCACTCCACAAGAATGGTATCGTGGACAAGCACATCGCTGCGTACAAGCGGCTGCTTGCGATTGGAAGAATTGTCGATCCTGCACCAATCGACACACAAGACATCCTCGCAGTAGCAGGCCACGTGTAGGTTTCAAACCAAGCAAATACGTATTGCGTTTGTTAGTACACTGTATACACACACGCTTTAACACATGCAGCTGTAGCATCGGCCGTGGCCAGCATCATGAACTCGCTCCAGCGTCGCCCAGCAGCAGCAACAGCAGCAGCTCACCAAACAGCGACGGCGTCGTGCCTCAGCTCCAGCGCCATCTCGCTCCAGCAGCACGTACAGGTCACGCAGCACGTAGAACACACGAACATCCCACGCAAAACGCACCCACAACACAGCACACTCCAAACCACATGGAACGTACCCGCAGCAGCATCACTAGTAACCACAAGCGTCTGTAAGTGGCAGCAGAGTTCCCCAGCGACACCGTCGTTCAGTCCTAGCGTCGTCCTGCTTCAGCATCACAAGCATCAGCCCCCCCACCGAATCCCAAAGGATAGCGCCGGCCCGACTTGAACGGGCACCTCAGGAACGAACCCCTGGCACTTCCTTGAGCTACGGCACTGTGGTGGTGGGGGTCGGAGCTCTGCTCAGTAGCCGCTGAAAAAAGGAGAATGAGCTGTTTTGCCCCCGTCGGCGCCTCTACAGCCACGCATTGGTGTGTGTCTATACGAAGACAGGTGCCAACTGTCTATTGGCTGATACCAACCAATAGTTGGCGAGCAGCCATGTATTGGCTAATAAAGGTGGCCAATGGGTAACGTCCACGTTGACTGTATGTGCTCTCATTAGTGGCCCCCTTTGCCTGTTGCCGCCCTCACAAATGAATTTGCGGCCTCCGGTGCACATTGCTCTGAGGCCAAATATGCATGCAAACGTAAAATAGCCGATTTCTCGGCCCAGAGGCCTCTAGAGGCCATTTCCTTGCGGCTGTGAGCACCCCACGAAAGCTGACCGAGAGCAATTTTAGAGGCGCACTTAATCGAATATGCCATATGATGTTTATAAGTTTTGGTCTCTTCTTTCTCCTGGGTCCGAACGGTCGGATAGTGTCGGAAAGGGCTAGGGTGTCGGAACCGTTGCGATATGGTTTGGTAGTCAGAAAAACGGTCCTGCATTTAAAACAATGT